TCAGCTTTCTGTTATCCTTTTGAAGAGGACTTCTGCTGGGATGGAGATGGGATAAAAATCTCCCCTCCTTAGAATCAGGGATGCTTTTAGGAAGCCCCCCACCAGGGCCCACTGGTGGTGTGAGTGCAGGCACCTTTGGGCTAGCAGGGCAGGAAGGAGGCTTGGCTCTGCCGTAATTAGGAGGGAAAGCCACTGCTCGGGTTGGTTTCCCTAGGGAGGTCTCAGTGTGGCCTGGCAGCCTGCACCCTGTGTTCGGGTTTGGTGAGATGGATCAAAACTCTGTGCTTCTGCCAGGGCAGGTGGCACACTGCACAGTGGGCGCGGAGCACTGCTCTGGCTTTGGGACCAAATGTGCTCTCGTTTCAATCACTAGCTATGCTTCTTACTAGCTGTGTGTCCCAAGCAAAGGGCCTCAGTTTATTAATCTCTAAAATGGGGATCATGTCACCCCTTCCCAGAGTTGTTGGAAATTAGGCAGAAATCTGTATGGTTAGCATCATTTATAACCCCAGAGCACTATGCTACCTATGTCATAGGGGAACCTCCATGTATTCTCATCTTTCCAAAGAATTTAAATGAGTTTTGGGACCAGCAGTTGGCATAATGGCTATGTTGCTGGACTCCCATGTAGTCGACTGCAGTTCGTGTCCCGGACCTGGTGGCTTAAACTCACGCCGGGCGTGTATGCGTGCATGCCCAAGATCCTGAGAGGAGAATGGAGAAGAAGGGATTGCAGCATGGCCATCACCCCTGGGGGGGGGCGGGATTTCTCTCTTTCTTTCTCTTTGTCTCTGTCTTTATGGTGAGCGCATGTGTCCTACAGCAAAAACCTCTCCAAAAAAAAGAAAAAAAAGAATTCAAATGAGTTTTCATGTATAAAACCACATGTGTGTGTGTGGCACACACACACTTTTTTTTTTTTTAATTTTGCAGTTGGAAATGCTGGAATTTGCTCAAACAGGTGACTAAAGGGCTGCTAGCTGCTTTTCTGGCCTTTTGACTCATCCAGAAGTGTCTATAATGGTCACTAAGCACTCTTTATGTTCTTTGTAATATCCTAATTGAATTAACCCCAGTGATGCACCAGGACCTCTAGCTGTTCCAGAAGAAGTTTTCTGTTCCTTTAATCATCTCAAGAACTACAGAGCACTTGGCTCACGTGACTCATGGCCCTGGAGTTGGCCTCCCTCATCCATAACACTGACCAACAGGAAAATCGGGTGTATTTGCACATAGATCGTAGCCCTAGCAGATGAGCACACGAACATATCATTTCAGTTGGCCAAAGCAGTCGCTGTGGGGATCCTGTGTTTGCTGTGAGTCCCTAAGGGCCATCAACACTCCAGAGAGGCAAGCTGTGCTTATGTGTGTGTGTGTGTGTGTGTACGCGCGCGTGCGTGTGCAATTACTCTCATGGACTTACTCTCCCTGAGTGCGTCTTACACTACCTGTGCCAGATGAATGCCTGTCAGGAAGGGGAACCATCAGGCTTGCCCCCCATTCACAAGGCCGACGCCCTCCGTACCCCTTGCCGCAGCCTCTGTGAGGGTGGGGACTTCAGGCTCTCTCTGGTCTGCTGTTTGGATGCCTTCAAGAGAGGCCAGGCAGAGGACACCAATGGTGGCAGTTCCTCAGAGCCCACTCCCCATGGCATGAGCTCCTCAGGTGCTTCAGAGGCCAGGCAGAGGACACCAATGGTGGCAGCTCCTCAGAGCCCACTCCCCATGGCATGAGCACCTCAGGTGCCTGAGCCCCACCTTTTGAAGAAACTCAAAGCCAGAAGAGTGTGACAGGTAGGTGAGTCCCCCCTGATGACCTGGCCCTGAGCTGGTGAACACAAGCTAAGCAGAGGGGTAGCTGGCGGGTGCGGTGTGGAGGCACTCCTCGGCTGTTTGCCGGACTTCGGGGAACACCCACCACCTGGCACCTGGTGCTGATCTGCAGGTGCCCACGGCCTGGTCTTTTGTTGCCTCCGGATTTGGAGGCTGGCTCAGTCAGGCTCCCGACTAGTTTGGGCTGTAACTTTATCACAGGCATTGTCTGCATTCAGTAGCTTTTAATTGTACAGAAGCTTCAGAAAGCTCTCCCTGGGGGCTTGGAGAGAAGTAAAAACAACAACAGCTGCTATTTCCTGTATGCTTTATGCCCTCCAGCCCAGCCTAGCCTCACCAGTGCGCTAACTTGAACTCCGGTGTGCCCAGGCAGGGAAGTGAATGTATTTTAATTCAGTTAATAGCGAAGCGTCACGTACCGAGGCCAGTCCGGAGCCAGGCACGTTGTTGCATTCATTCCTGTTGATGTCTCCCCACCTTCCAGGCCTATAAGACAGCTGGCCTTCTCCCCATCATGCAGGTGAGACTGCTTAAGAGGTTGCACAGATTTAGCAAGTGACAGTGCCTGGTTGCTGTGTGGCCTCCTCCAGGACCACCCCTCTCTGTGGTTTCCTCCTCAGCTGATGATTCCCAGAGGGCCTCAGGGCACAGAGCAGATGCTGAGATGCTGAGAGTCATGGGACTTTCTCCCGGCATCTGTGGCACGCTGGCTCTGGCTCCGCATCAGCCAGAGTAGCTGGCAGGCAAGGCCTCTGGGGCACGGAGCTGTTCCCTGGTCTCATCTCCAGGAGACTCCCGGTCCCTCTGCTCCAGTGGGGATCCAGAAAGGCAGCCTGACACGTGATGGGAGGTCCCACCCTGGTCGACTGGAAACCCCAGGAGAGAACCCTTGGCAGGGGTGAGGTACACACACTTTCTTTACAAGATGAGGAACCTGAGGCTTGAGGCAGAGAAGAGATCGTTCTCCACCGTGTCATATGGAGTGGTTTCCAAGGTCAGATGCGAAAACTTAAAAGTGCACATGACCAACTAACTTGGCAGCATCAGAGTTTCCGCCCTTTCCCCTCGTCCCTAACCCCCTCTGCCACATCCCAGGGAGTCTCAGACTTTGGGAATTGCAGTGCCCAGAGTACTTGCTGATATGTGGATTCTCAGGCTCCACCAGCCAGGAACCTGTATTTTTATCAGGGCTCTAAGTGAGTTGGATACAGCGATTCCAAGGCCAGGCTTTGAGAACCCCTGTCCTTTGCCTTCCGGGACTTGGGCTGACTTTAGAGTTAGCCACTGGGAGGCCGCCTCGTCTGGTTGACCCCATCCTGGCGTGGGATTAGCAGGCCCATTGTACTCCCACGCGTGCCTGAAGTGGACAGTGGGATGACGGGACCTCCAAGTTCAGTCTCTCTTCTTCCTTTTCTGTCCTTTCACCCTCACCCCAAACTCAGGCACGTGTGTTCTCAGAATCCAGTAGAAAGGGACACGCGCATTCTTGGTCTACCAAACTCAAGACTGCCCTGCAGGAGTGAGCAGGCAGAGCGAGGCTTTGGTGGCCTTTGCTCGGGGCCCAGGCCGCCCCCTGCATTCCTGTGCCTTTCATTCAGCCAGCATTTCTTATGCCTTGAGCCCTGCCAGGGAGGTGGGCTTAGAGTCGGGTGTTAGAGAGACAGGGGACACCAGACTCCTAAGACTTGGTCCCCAAAGTCACCAACAGAGCCTGTCCTTCCAGGTTGCCCAGATTGGCCCTCGGCCCGTCCCAGTCCCTTACGTTGCACCAATCCTCTGCGCTTGGCAGGTGCGTCCAGTTCAGCGGCTTGACTGTGCTTCCTCTTAGCATTCCCCACCTGTGCCAGCGTGCAGGGGAGAGCCGTGGGGAGCATTTTGCTGTATGTCCTGAGGGTAGGAAGTGAAGGGGCTGGGCGTTGTGGTGGGAGACTGACTGTGGCCCTCCTCAGCGTGCCAAGCCCCACGATCGGGTCAGGTCCCACCTCCAGAGACCAATTCAGCAGGTCCAGGCTTACAATCAAGACCCTGAACTTTTTATTGCATTTGTTTTGTTGCATTTGTGTGTGTGTGTGTGTGTGGCAAATGTAAAATGTCCCATTTTTGCCATTTTACCATTTTTAGATGTATAATTCAGCATTACTAAGTGCATTCGCAGTGGTGTGTGACCATCATTACTCTTCACTTCCAGAACCTTTTCATCATCTCCAACAAACCGCCCATCAGACATTAACTGCCTGACACCCTGTCCCAGCCCCTGGCCATCTCGGTTCTACGTCCTGTCTGTGCATTTGCCTGTCGCAGGGACCTCCTCTAAGTGAGATCCCGTGTGTTTCTCAGGGCCCTGCACTTGGAAAGCCCTCCCTCCAGCCACATCCGAGTGTTCCCGTTCTAGGTGCTTTATCCCCAGTGTTTCTTCCTTGAAAACGCGACTTCACTGTGTGCTGGGAAGGTTTGGGGAAGGTGCCCGGGGCTGTTTCTCCTGTGGCTAGAGCCACCACATGGCTGTTTCTGCTGCCATGCTGCATCGCTTTGTCTTTGATCTCACTTTGTTTTTCAAAGGGGTATGACTTGGGCTTTTAGGTTCGTTTTCCATAGTGTAGTTGTGACGATCAAGGCTAGGGACCACCCCTTGACCTGGAGATCTGCTTGATCAGAAGTGTACCTGACACTTAGGAGTTGCAGGGGACAACCATTCCTTCAGCTTGAGAGACTATTGGTCCAGCACCAGGGTGGGCTGCACTGGGCAGCGTGAGTTCTCCCATACAGGAGGCGTCAGGCGTGGCGACTGTGTGTGCCCATCAGGGGACTCAAGAAGATCCCTTTGGCCTGGGGCCACAATGGAGGCTGATGCCACCGTCCCATCCAAGTGCTCAGTTTCCTCATCCTGGCCACCAGACCGCACCTTCAGCTCCACTTTCAGATAAAAAGTTGGGTCAGGTCTCTGGCTCTATAGCTGCTTGCGTGCCCGAGAATTCCCTGCTGTCCGTTGGCTTCAGCCATCCGACTTGGGCTGAAGGTTGTCACTGCCATCTGAGCAGGCTTTCCTCCGGCCCTACCGGGCTTTAGCAGAGCAGCCCTCAGGGCGTCACCCAGACCTCTCGTGTCATAGTGTGCTTATGATGAGAGTCAGCCCTCATCCTTCCTAGCAACACCTGTTCACTCTGCCAGGGCAGAGGGTCCCTCTGGATTCTGGGGCAGACACAGATGCCTGCCCTGCCTCTTCCTCCATGGGTACTGCGGTTCTTTAGGGCTGGGTAGAAATGTCTACTCTGGGCAAAGACTTTTTCTTGCACCCTGGAATAACCTGGTAGGCGCCTCTTTTTCTAAAAGGGGAAGTGGAGTCAGTGTGATCTCCTGTCTGTCAGTGCTGACAGCACTTCCTGCAAAGGCAGAGATGTTCTGTGTCTGTACTGCCGGGGGTGTGGCACCAGGACTGCGAATGTAGGTAGTACCGACCAGAGACCTAAAGTTTACGTTGTATTTCATTGTAAAAGGCCACTCGTGGCAAGCGGCAACCATACAGAGCTGGCTCTGCATCAGGGCATGATACTAAAACACACATCTGTGGCTCATCATGGCTTGCACAGCCTGAGATGTTTGTTTTCCACCATGGCCCACTCCCCTCGTGGCTCCTGGACCACATACATCAGAGTTACTTGGAAGATTATTGTTGGTCGTAGAGTTTTTTGCTACAGGGCGTGTGCACTTGCCAGAGAGACAGAGAAACAGAAAGCAAGAAATTACTCCCCAGAGGGGATGACCATGCCACAATTCCTTCTCCGCTGGGGATTTTGGGCTCACATGTAGCCGGCGTGAGTTTGAAGCCACCAGGTCCGGGACTTGAACTGCGGTTGGCCATGTGTGAGTCCAGCAACGTAACTATTACGCCATCTGTTGATCCCTATTGTTGTTGTTTTAAAATGAACTTTCCTGAACTCTGTCTGACCTGGACAATTAAAAAGACCTGGGGGAAGCTCTACATTTTTTAGGGCTCTACATTTTTAGCAAGTTCCCCTACGCCCCTTCCCAGGTAAGAGTCGTCATTTTTAGCTAGTTCCCCCCATGTTCCTCCCCAGGTGATGTGGATCCATCCTGTGGTTGAGGACAGAGGCCTCCTCACCTTCCAGCTTTACTTCAGTGCGTCCTCCCAGCTCCAGTGGCACCTGTGCTCCTGGTGCCTTTGCACCCCACCCTCACCCCCCGGACCCCAGTAGCCAGGACCAGCAGCATCAGAAGACCTGTTGGAAATGCAGATTCTCTGCCAGCCCCAGACCCTCAGAATCAGAAGCTGCAGGTGGGCACAGCCTCCAGGTCTCAGCAAGGCCTCCAGGTGATGATAGTACAGCCACAGTTAGAGACCAGTCTCCACACAAGGTTGCTCTAGGAAGCTCCTTCTGCTTAGTTTCCTCTTCTCCTCCCTCTCTTCCTCCTTCCCTTTCTCCTGCACCCTGGCCTGGTCCCCCCAGCTGCTGAGAGCCGGTTGACCCTTCCCTGTCCAGGGGCTGCTGAGTATACCACCAGAAGATCTGTCTGCCCTTCACCAGGGCCTTCAGCGATCCTGGCCTGACTCATGGGACACTGTAATGGTGATGTCCGTGGGGGCAGACAGCAGCGGCCAGCCACGCTCCCACCTTCCTCCTTTCTCAGTATGCCAGGTGGTGGCCACCTGCTCCCTCATTGCCGGGAACTCAGAAGAGCAGGCCAGATGGGCCCATTCCCCTGGGGCCTCCAACCCTTCCTTTGGGGACAGAGCCTTTGCTGTGTCCCTTGGCATCCATCAGGCCTGGGGGGCCTCAGCCCAGCCCATGCCTGTACCAACAAGTACAGGAAAGTAGTCCCCAGTGTTTCTAAGACATCCCGTAGAAACACACTGTCTGAAGCTGATTTGTTCAGCACACGTCATTGGGCTCTTTGCTGGGTGTCATGGACTCCAAGGAAAACTTCGATATAGACCCTGTTGGTTAATTCTCATGCAGTTTTTTTTGAGTGCCTACTATGGGGCAGGTCCCTTAGATCCTTGTGTGTGTTAGGGGGAGGTGTTTCTTCTATTGTTTATCCCCTCTCCCCTGTCCCTTCCGTCTGTCTTCAAGGACCAGCTAACATTGCCACCTCTGAGATTCCTTTCACGGTCTTCTGGTTATAACTAGCCCAACCCTCTCTGCTTCTCTGCCTCCTGTCTGTCTTTTGTCACACCTGTCCCAGGTGGGCTTGTGAAGAACTCCTATATCTGTGGCCTTCCTAAGTGTGGGGCCTAGTTGGGTTGATTTGAACACCCCATACCCCAAGGTGCCTGCTCCGTGGACCTGCGGAAATGCTTACTCTGGGTCCCCGTTGCCAGCATCCTGGCACGCTCTGGATTGAGCTGAGCACACAAGGTCAGTGACAGCAGCTGGCGCTTTGGGCACTCCAGACCGCATCTGGCCACTGTCGGCAGTCTCGTCGGGAATCAGATTTCCCTGGGTCCGGAGCTTGCCCATCTCTCTGGAAAGTGCTGATTGATCCTTCTTAGAGGACTTGAATCCGTACCTTTCAGCAGAGTGGGGGTGGGCAGCCCAGGAAGCTAAGGCTTCAGCAGAAGGGCACCACTGGCTTGCCTCTGTGCTTGGTGGCATTTAGGGCAGAGAGGCTGGCTCCTGGTTTGTTTGTCATCAGCCCCGGGTAGGAGAATGAGCTCCACTGACTGGGGCAGGACAAGCACACAGATCCAGGGCTCTGAATGTGGGCACACCAGAGACTGTAACAAGTGCTTTGGGCCATCTTAGAGCCAGGCTTCCTGGGTGCAAATCATCCCAACTGTGGGAACCTTGAGCAAGCTCCTTAACCCTCCTGAGCCTCAGTTTCCTGAGATGCTGTCCCCATCTGTTGGGTTGTCAGAAAAGTCATGGCATTTAGTCATTCACAGTAGTCTGTGGAAATTACATGTGAGAATACATGCCTGGTGCCTGGCACACAGTAGGGCGTGGTAAACATCATTTGTGTAAGTGCTATACACTTACAGGTGATAAGAGGCTCGCTGGGAAGGCGCCCAGGTCCGACAAGCCCAGACTGATCAGTAGCGAAGATCCTAGTGCTGGTTGAGAACCTGCTGGGGAGACATTTTTGGAAGTAGCATCACCTAGACCTCTGCTCTCCCACTCAGTCAAGCGTGTGTCAGGACTTTCCAGAGTCACATGCATCGTGGGAAGCCCACAGTGGAGGCTAACAGTCCCTCTTACATACTGTGTGGAATGCAATGGGTAATGGTGTTTGCTAAGTGTGGTTTGCACTGGCGTTGGCAGTACGGAGATACTTACACCAGAGACGTAGGGTGGAGTGTGTTTGCACGAGGGTGGGTGCCTCCCAGACACTCT